CTACTTTTTGTAGGTTCTTATTATAAACCCTAATATGGAATTTACAGGGACCCTACAAAAAAGTAGGTTTTAGGTTCTTAAAGTAGAACTCTGTAGAACCCAATAAAAATCCTTCGAGGCGTGCGCCAGCGTCTTTCAGCTCTTTCAGCCACCTCTCCGCATCGGCCAACTGGGCGACCAAGGTTAATATAAGGGTTAAGGGTTTAGGGTTTAGGGTTTAGGGTTCCGATAAGGGTTAGTCGAAGGTGTGCTATACGGGTAATTTAGGGTCACTCCAAGGCTTACTATACGGGTTCTGGAAGGGTTTTCTTAGGACAGTTCTATGAAAACTACACGGGCGAGAATAAGGGCTCCGCAAGCGATATATATAATATATATATATAATAAATAAATAAATAAATAAATAAATAAATAAATATATATATATATATAAACGCGACTATAAGGGTTCCGGTAGGGTTCTGCGGCCTTTCAACCCTCTTCAAGAGAATTACAATCAGACCAGGGTGTGGGTGCGTAATGTAGGGGCCTTAACAATTTACCAAGAGGGCTTTGGGACCCATTATACTATAAAGATAGGGTAATTTCAGACTATTAGGGTACCCTATTTAGGGGTGCTTATTATAAGGATCCTACTATTTAGGGTCCTATATCCCCTATTTTCTGAAACTCCCATATTGAGGTACCCCCCCAAAATAGTATTGGCAATTATCAAGGCCCCTACGTTACACTAGCATGCTGATGTAAGGCGCAGTATGGCCTTCGTTCCACATGGGTTTCGCAGGAGCTTGAGATGTTTCTGGTTCAAAGTTTTTTTTCTTTAGGGTTTAGGGTTTAGGGTTCAGGGTTTAGGGTTTAGGGCTTAGGGTTTAGGAACTTTGTGCCGTTGCCAAACTGGCTATTAGAACAGGATTTTGGGGCACATTATACTGTGATTACAATAAGGAACCGCCCAAAAATCACAGAGGCAATTCTTAAGGATCCTATAGTGTATCTAACCGAGTCTGTGGTGAGGGCATGAGGAGAAATCAAGTATCCCTGCTGAATCCTGTAGCGTGGCACCGAGTGATCATCGTGTCCTACTCATAGGAACAATGGACCTAGCAACCAGAGTTACATATCTATTTTTACACATAGATATAGATACATGTGTATGTAAATGTGTATCTATATATATGTATATGGTAAGAAAAGTTGCAATTGCTCGAAACCCTGAGCTGCTTACAATGTTCTATGATCCATTAAGTGCAGAACAGGCAAGGCTCCCGAAATCCCATTCTGCGCAGAGTGTTGCAGGCCAAACTCCGAGGCCAAAACCACACACAAAGACATAATATATGTATAAAGACAGCTTTACAACAACTGAACAAATACATTTGATACATCTGTATGTATGTATGTATGTATGTATGTATGTATGTATATATATATGCACATACATTTGTTACATGGCTGTCGTATGTGTGTATTGCACCCCCCTCCCAAACAATCAAGGAGATGTTTCCCAAGCTCCACCACACGCCCGAGGCAGCTACGAGACCGCGCCGAGCATAGCTGTCGATGATCGAATTGAAAGCAACGAGATCCGGAGAGAGGCCTGATTATAATCGTCGTTATCATCAGTGTTCTTATTGCCAGTGCTAGTTGTTCCTTCCTGTTATGTTGCCCGATCGTTTTGGATGGCTTAAGGGTTTAGGTTTACCCTTTTTGCTTTTTGTAGGGCCCTAAACCCTAAACCCTAAACCCTAAACAAACCCTAACCCCTAAACCCTAAACCCCTAAACCCTAAACCCTAAACCCTTATTAGGTGTAGGTTTCAGGGTTCAGGATTCTGGGGTTCAGGATGTTCGGGCCTCCGGGTCCTCGGTGTGAGATTTGGGGTTTAGGGTTTAGGGTTTAGGATTCTGGGGTGTGAGGTTTAGGGTTTAGGGTTTAGGGTTTAGGGTTTAGGGGTTTAGGGTTTAGGGTTTAGGGTTTAGGGTTTAGGGGATTCTGGGGTGTGAGGTTTAGGGTGTAAGATTCGACTGATCGCCTAAAGGTTTTCTTGGGAGGTTTAGTGATTTGGGGCTTAGGGGTTTAGGGGTTTCGGGTTTAGGACTTGGCAGCGGCCAGAGCACTGGCAGCAGTAGCCCAGAACGGAACCCAACAGTAAGGCTCTCAACCCCTCCCCAATCACCTTATAGAGCTCTTACTACATTACACCGAAGCCCTAAACCCTAAATCCTAAGCCCTAAACCCTTATCATATCCAAACCATTCGGTGGGGGCTTCGGTACATCTCCTGAAAACCTCTTGCAAGGTGTTGGAGCAAAGTATTTCTTACTTATACCAAAGAGGCCTAATGCTGTCAAAAAATTATCCCGGCTTCCATATGAGGTTTGAAGGTCTAATGTAGGGCTTTGGAATCGGGTTTTGGGGTATATTATACTCTAATCATAATAAGGAACCCCCCAAAATAGTATTGGGAATTATTCAGGCGCTCCTATCTTATGCTTTTTTGGGGGTTCAGGGCTCCTCAAACCCTAAACCTGAAACCCGTCATAAGGTTTCAGTAGGCCTCCGACACGAAGAACCTACGATCGGGGCCTTCGTGATTGAAATAGGGCATTTAGGGCCCTCAAAAAGCACATAAGCAAAACTTAGGATAGGGGTATCCCATATAACACCCCTTATAATGAAGCCCAATAAGGTAGGGATATCCCTATAAAATGCTTATGCTCATGTCCCTCTTGGGTTCCTAAGCATTGGAGCACATACTGGCATGCTTACATACGGCATCCTGTGGATCAATATTACTCCCAAGGTTCGAAGTAATGGGCCCCTAATATGGACCCTTAGGCGGCCTTTCTCGGGGCCCTTAAGGGTACATAGCAGGTAGATAGTAGGTGCACAAGGATCCCAGGGTTAAGGGCCCATACTAAGGGCCCATGGTTTCAACAATAGAATTACTGATCCTTCCTGCTCCTCTGTTGCACTGGATTCCCCTGCTGGCCTGGTCTACGAGCGGGAGACCCAGTGAAGGATTTAGCTAAGCTTCATAGATAAATAAACCCTACAGTTTAAGGTTATAGTCAAGCTTAACAAGCCCTGAGCCCTTTTGCCTCATCAAGGGGTTTTGGAGTCTCTGGTTAGTGTTAATCCAATAGAATGGCCTCAGTAACTACCAATACTATTTTGGGCGTCCATCATCATGGCTACACTATCATATACACCAGAAGCCTGTTCGAATTATCAAGGCGCTTTTACCAGAGAGCACTTATGGAAACCCTTACAGGGAGCCTTTGAAGGACCCGTCATCCAATTATGAAGGCACCTTTTAGGGTTTGGGGCCCTATGTTCTCTATTGCATACTTCGGAGGCTTGGAAAAAGAAATGGGCCTTCCTCTCCCATTCGCAGAAGCCACTTCTTGACGCCTGTGCTGCTTTAGGCTTTAGGGGTTTCGGGCGTAGGGGTTTGGATGTCAACAGTTTAGGGGTTAGGGTTCGGGGGTCTAGAGGGTTGGGTTTCTGAAGAGGTTCAGGAGTGTGGAAATACGGGGGCCTGAATAATTCGAGAAAGGCTTATCTGGCATGCTGTGCTAGAGCTGTGCTTTGGGGACTAGCAAGGGGATACTCTTAAACACAGTTCAGCCCTAAACCGTAAACCCTACTTGGAGGTTCATGGGTAGTTATGAGTAGGGTTTTAAGTACGGTAACCGTATTTATAACCCTATTAGGGGACTTATAACCGCACTTACAACTACCCTTGAACCTCCAAGTAAAACCTATCTTCGCGCCGTGACTTTCCTGTGCCTTGGGACGAGGCAGGAGCTTCCAAGACCCTACCGGGAGGACCAGGGAGCTTAAGTGAGGCCTACTTGGAGGTTCATGGGTAGTTATAAGTAGGGTTCTAAGTCCCCTAATGGGGTTATAATTATAGTTACCCTGCTTATAACCCTGCTTATAATTACCCATGAACCTCCAAGTAGAAAAGGTTCATCGGCTTTCGGTAAGGGTTCTTACTTGCACGGTCGGGGGACTTAGTAAATTGTTATCTTATGGACTCATAAGTTTTATGGACTTATAAGTACTATAACCCCAATTAGGGTCCGTTTAGGGTACTTATAAGTCTACTTATTACCTACTTACAAAGCCTCCCGACCCTCCAAGTAGGGTTTCTATAAAGGTTTCCACAAGGGTTTCTATAAGGGTAAGGGTTCATCGGGTTTCGATAAAGGTTCTTAGGGTTTCTGTAAGGGTTCTTAGGGTTTCTGTGAGGGTTCATCGGGTTTCTATAAGGGTTCATCGGGTTTCTTCAAGGGTTCATCGGGTTTCCATAAGGGCTCATCGGCTTTCGATAAGGGTTCTTAGGGTTTCTACGAAGGTTTCCATAAGGGGTTTCTAGAAGGGTTCATCGCGTTTCTATAAGGGTTTTTCGTGTTTCTATAGGGTTCATCGGGTTTTTATAAGGGTTCATCGGGTTTCTATAAGGGTTCCTAGGGTTGCTGTAAGGGTTCTTAGGGTTTCTGTGAGGGTTCATCGGGTTTCCACAAGGGTTCATTGGGTTTCTGGAAAGGTTCATAGGGTTCTATAAGCGTTGCATCGGGGTTCTTTGCGCTTTAGGGGACTTCTTAGGTAAGGGTATAAGTATCTTAACTAGGCTTTTATTAGTATGCCTCGCTAGTTCCTGGTCCCATGGCCCTTGAAGTAATGTAGAGGCTTCTATTGTGGGGGTTTCTTATTATAAGTATAGTATAATGGGCCCCAAAACCCTATTCTAGCTATTAAAGCCCCCTATATTCGTCTGTGCCATCTTTGGAAGACTCCCTCCCACGGATGACGATGTCTGGAGCAAGCTGAGGCTGAACAGGCTTGGTATATCATACTAGAACATGGGTGGGGTATATATATATATATGCTACTATCATTCTTTGGGGACTATACAAGAATGTTATTCTGGAATCTGCAGTCTCCCTGCATCTTTTGCGACATCAGCGGCTCAGGCGCAAGTTTTGAAGTCCGTTACAAGTAGTCTACAGCAATGCTAACGTCATCATCTTCAGTCCACAAGACCACCATAGGCCAGTATTTATCGCGCTTGATCGTAACCTCTTTGCCAAAGGGCTGCAGACCTTGGTAGCACTGCATGGTGCCTTGGCTGACTTCTGAACCCCTCCTAAAAGTTAAACTTATAGCCTACTTATTATAGCTCATATAGAGAAAAAAGTAAATGTCCTAAGAGCCAACCAGAAGAACGCCATGGTGCTATTCTCAAAGTCCAGAAGCACAGCCAGCTTCGTTGAGGCCCGCCAATCACGGGTACCGCCGCATGAGTGAGTTCTTTTTGCCTACGTTCCCCGGTGGACCCTTAATAATAAGGGTACCCTTTTTCCTACTATTTGGTTTAATCAGGGAACCCAGAAAGAAAAAGGGCAAAAGGGTACTACTGGGGAACCTAGTTGCATAGGCGCAGACGTTTGTGCTGTGACCACCGTGGTAGAGGCCCAAGAAGTGAAGATCATGCTCCGGATCTTTCGTCACCTCTCTTCTTCAACAACCAGGCCCAAAAAAGTTCAAACTTTTTAAGATAGACCTAATATATAAAGCCAAAAAGTTTAAAGTTCTGCCATTGGCTATCTAAGTCACAATGGCGTCCGCGGAGCCAATTCCTATTCCGAAGGCGTATCTGGTATCGTGGATGAGAACCTAGGTTGGCCCCGCAAAGTCTCCGAATAATGTTCGTAAACAAGATTGAAGGGACTAGAGGAGGGACCCTTCAAGGGACCCTTGCGATTTTTGTAGGGGCTTCATGAGACTACATAAAGTGTATATAAGGGTTATGTAGGGTATTAGGATTAGAAGTCCCTTCTAGGGGTCCCTCCTGTTTTCCCTTCAAGGATCTTCTCTAGGTTCCCCAGTAGCCCCGTAATAATAAGGGTACCCTTTTTCCTACCATCTGGTTTTAATAAGGGCACCCCAAAAGAAAAAGAGCAAAAGGGTACTACTGGCAAACCTAGTTCTTAAGCCCCAAAAAAAGGAAAAAGATCCCTTAAAGGATCTTCTTAAGCCCCAACAAGGGAAAAAGATAAAACTGTCCCAAAAGGCCTACCTCGGAACCCGCATGAGAAGTCGGCCACCCTCCAGGCTCGGGTAGCCAAGTCCGCCGAAGAGAACTCCTTTTGGTGATCTCCTGGGCTCTTGTTTGAAGTTTAGGGTTTAGGGTTTAGGGTTTAGGGTTCTGGGTTCTTGTTTGAAGTTTAGGGTTAAGGGTTTTTTAAGCTACCTGAATGACGAACATATCCATCTTATTTACTATGGACTCTTCTAGATTCGCATGGTGGTAACTAACCCATCTTGTTAACTATAGCTTCTTATAGACCCCCATCATGGTAACTTAACTGGGTTTTGAAATAACCAGGGAGAAAAGTATAGACTTTCATCTCATAATGGTTCCTTTAAGGAACAGTTCCCCCCAAAAAGTATTAAAGTATGGTCCGGAAAGCCCAGATTATCTTAGGGGCTGAGTACCCTGGCCCAAAACAAGTCACCTTTCAAACTAGGGTGGGATAAAATACTCCAAAGCCCAGTTAAAGTCAATTCCTTAACCCTGAACCCTAAACCCTAAACCCTGAAGTCAATTCCCTAAGAAGAGCCCGGCCGCCCACTGGAGCCTTTTACGCGCTGGCCCTCGCAGAGCTCCATTTCCTTACTTGCCCAGTATCTTCAAGGGGGGATGGCAAAGTTAGCCTTGGGGGTTTGTTTAGGGTTTGGGTTGAGGGTTTAGGGTAGGGTTTAGGGTTTGGGGTTTAGGCTTTAGGGTTTAGGGCAGGTGGTATATACACCAAAAAGGTGAAGATGTTACCTACGCTTCTGTCAAGGTGTCGATCCCCTCAGCATCCACAGACTCAGACGCATAGGCGGAGAGTGGATAGTGCTCAAACTGGCCGCTTTCCTCGGCTGTTCAGTAACTTGGCGTCAGTCATCATCAGGAACCAAACGAAAAGAGAAAAACGTATACTCTGAACAACCTGAGTTGTCGAACCCTATAGAAACCCTCATTTCTATGACCTTATTATGCAAAGAGCCGAGTTTAGGCCTAGCTTCGCAACCTCCTAGGGTTCCATCTTCTAGTTTCAGTAGTACACTATACCCTAAAACTCCATTGTAATGGTTAACGCCCCTATAGCACAGAGCCCTTGTAGTAACCCCTAAGGGAAGCCTTAACCCTGATCCCTAATCCCTAAACCCTAACCCCTAGTCGCTAATTCCTAATCCCTAAACCCTCATCCCTAATCCCTAATTGCTAATCCCTAAACCCTAATCCCTAAACAATTTCCCCCTGAACCCTAATCCCTAAACCCTAAACCCTAATTCCTCCTCCCTAAACCCTAATCCCTAAACAATTTCCCCCTGAACCCTAATCCCTAAACCCTAAACCCTAATCCCTAAACGCAGGCATCTCGGTTTGCCAGCTTGCACGTTGCAAGATTGCAGTTAGCACGCCCGACCACAACGCCTCAAGGCGTGTGGCTTCGTATCACCTTTGAGGCATTTTGCCATGGCCGAACAGCGCAGTATGACGCCTTCAGAGCAAGCAGCGGTCCAACAGTTCGACAGCCAGAGAACCCACATTGCTGGAGCT